CATGGACAGCTTCCTACAACTAAAGAATTGGAGCAAATTCCAAACACCATCTAGAGCAGTCCCACAACCTCAAATTCGAGAGCATCGGAACTGTCCACATCAGACTGTGGTCTTTCTTATAAACTGAAAGTTCTGTTATTAGGCATTGACTTCAGACAGTGCAGTGGAAAACTCTTGAATACTTGGCAGCTGGTTCCAGCTGCAGAAATAGGGGACCCTTAAGTTGCTGAGACATTGGGCTCCCTGGGCATTAGCACCATAATATCTATAATCTGCTTCCAAGAAGGCTGGGCGCATAATGAGATTTGCATGTTTACTGTTATTTGAAAGGTTTTTCTTTTTATGTTTCCATAATTAGAAGAAAATGGCATATGTAAAAAATACCTACCCTAGCGGTACAAATACAACCCTGAAGAGCACAGGAAGGAGGGGAGACAGAGCGGAGGCTCACTTAGGCCTCAAAAGATGGTGAAGCTGGGGTGCATCAAGTACTGACCAGAGTCTTGCTTTATTTGAAGGCAATTTTCTCTTCATCAGGACTTCAGAGAGACAGAAAATACAGGTAAGATATGCGTGATAATCACCTGTCTTTCTTGAAGGCTGGGAGAGCACCCGTAATAAAACTTCCCTTCCAGCCTGGAATCTGCCCAGCTCCCCTCCTCTTTCTTTGTGGGCTTTGTTTTCACCGTCTTTGCCCTGGGTGAGAGGCAGAGGGGAGCCTGGCGCAGTGGTGAAGTGAACACAGAATGTCTGTACTTGGTCCTGCTCCTAGTTTTGGCCCTTTCTTCCAGGCTTTCTGAACCAGTGACCTTGTCCTTGCCCAACAGGGATGGACGTAACCTGCAGCACCCGAGTCCTGAGAGCCAGATTTTCTCAGGACATTTTAACGCAGAGGTGTTCAGATGGGTAAAATTTCCTTTGATAAAAACATTAAGTCAAAACCCATACTTCGACTGTGGTCCAAGCCTAAACAAAGTGCTGACTCTTTATTTTGTTAAGTGAGAACATTAAAAAGAACACAAAGTCCCATATAGTGCCGTCAAGACACCCTGAAAAGAGGCATATTTTCACAAAATAGCGAAAGGGTAGAATTTCAGAATAAAGGGCAGCCCTTGAAAATGGAAGAGAATTGGCCACTCGCTGCTGATGAGTGAGTCATCTGGGAGGCACTGTGCTGACTCAGAGGGTGCCTGTCCTCAGGTGGCGGTGAGGCAGGCACCTGCAGGCCCCAGGGCTAGCAGCTTGTGAGAGAGGAAACATGCTTGCTCGTTCTGTTCCTGCTGTCCATATCCACCACTGGCTGACTCCTGGCTTCCCTAGCTTGGCCTTCTCAGCCCCCAGTGCACGACCTGCTACCACTCCAGGCAGAAGACGACCTCAATGGGCTGGTTCTCAGTAAAGGTCAGAGCTCATCTCATCAGTAGTCACCCTCACTACTTTAAAACATCAAAACAAAACCCAGGCTTGACCAAGGCCCACAGCTTGACAAATGCGTTAGTCCTGGATACCTAGTTAGCATTAGGCGTTTTGACTGCACCAGTTGAGGATAGAGAGTTTAAAACACTACGTTGTCATGCAAGAGCCCGTCTGAGGCTAACTGCTACCCTTGAGGAACCTGTCATTTCAGGCCAATGTGAGGCACATGAAGGATCAATACACAGCCATCCCAGCTGTTCTGGAAAGGGTCAAAGTGCTATAGCATTTGGGATAATACAGGCCAAACCGGCACTGCTATTTTTGGTCCCCTCTCAAGGCAGATTGCTGGAATAAACTGCCTGCCGCTGCACAGCAGGATTCAAGGCAACAGTGCTGATGGCCTTGCCCGTCTTAAACTGTGATACACTCAGAAGGATCAGCCTCCGCTGACTGGTGCCCTGAGTGAAAAATGGATTCAAGTTGCTGAACAGTGGCTCCTCATAGTTTACTGGATCTTGCTCAAGAGTAATGCTCACAAGCCTTTATTTATAGCCACTCAACTCCTTCTCAGATGGACTCCAAGTTTATTATTATTAAAATTGAATGAGTTGTAATCACTGATTATGGAAACACAGAGCAATTTCAAGGCAGGCAGGGGAGGAAACCTTTGTCATCGGACTCCGGCTTTGCATCCTGCAGACAATGACTTCATCTTTTCATTGTCTGCATTTTCACATTTGCAAAACTATCATCTGTGTCTCAGGAGAATTATGAAGACTGGAAGAAATAGTTGTATGGTGTGTGACACATCGGCCCTCAAGAAATAATTCTGGTTTCTACTATCAAGAATATTTTTAGGTTGGGAAGCAAGCTCCTTTGGCATTTTCAGGATTCTTTGCTTTTTGGGGTAGGGTCTTGGGCTGGGAGAGTGAAGGCTGCTGGGAGAATTTGGTAATCTTCATTGTGCTCATTTCTAAAACCTTTTTCTCCTCTGGCATCAGGCAGGGGAAGGGGCAGGTATTATTCAAGGGCAACACGAGGAAGAATCTGAGTAAATGACTTCTCCTGGGCTTTCGAAAGCCCAAGATCCTTACCTGGCCCTTTCTATGAGGCCCACACTGGTAGTAATAGTTCACAGACAGGTGAAAGAAGTGCTTGTAGCACAGGCTCCAACCTGGGCTGCTTTGGGCAGGACACAGAGGACGTGTTGACTGGATAGCTTTGGAAGTCAGGTGCACAGAGCGAACTGGGCTTGAATGCGCTCGGGGGCTGCTGCAGGGTGGGATGAAGAGCTCACTCTACTGTGACGGTACGGCACCTCCAATTTACTGCACTGAAAGAAGTGGTAGGGAGGTTAAGTGCTGCCGCTCATTAAGTTCAAAAGCCTGGGATGCCGAAGGACAATCTGCTCTGAGTTCTGACGCTTTCCTGCTGCTGCTCACTCGGTAAACGTTTGGTACGCAATAAATGTTCGCAGGCATATAGACATACTGACATCAACCAGTTGGCCTGGAAGTACTGAACATCCAGCCCCCAGTGCCCTGGCCGATGAGGATGCAAAGTTCTCCCGGCTTCTGTGTGGCACAGCCTTTGGTGAGGCCTCAAACCCCCCGCTTAGTACCTGCCAATCTCCTGCCCTCTCGGAAAGAGCCTGTTTCTCTCCCTGCTGGGCCCCCCACTTCTGGGGATTTCCTCAGCGCTGTGTGTCCAAGTCTCTGCTGCTGGAAGTGTTTGCTCAGGCCCAGAAACAATGGGATAGAAAAACCACCCAGCTCTCGCCACAGCTGCAAATTCCCTACCTTCTCGAAAGCCTCAGGGTGTTCCTCTCAGCCAGACTCAGTAAGTCTCAAGCTTGGCCTCTGAAGCCTGGCGGGCAGGCCTCTTCTCCCACCAGCGCAGATCAGCCTGATGGCCCAGGGTGGACACCTCCGAGATTTCAGGGGTCGCAGGAACAGCAAGCCAGTGGGGGCCGACGCCTGTTCTGCAGCTCGTAGCTCCTCAGGTCCTTGCTCCGGTGTCCACATGCACCCAGCCTGAGCCAGGGAACCGAGTTCGTGATGTGCAGTTTGTTGTGCATTTGTCCATAGCAGCTGTGGTGGCAGATATCAATTTGTGCAGTTTTTTAATTCTGTGTAATACTGCCATGAAAATGGGCTTAACTGCCTTTCAGTATGGTCATTATGACTCTCTTAACTTCCCTTCCCCGGGAAACCTTGCCTGAGTCGTGGCTGGAGAATCTTGCTCCATCCCACGGCCCCCTCTGTCCCACGAAGCAGAAAGGCTGGCTTCCTGGGGTTTCTCTTCCCAGCGGTAAACCCTTTCCTCCCTGCAGAACTATTATAACTGACCCAGGGCTGGAACACCAGGGAGCCCCTACCCTGGCAGGGCTGGGGTTCTTCATGCTGCCTTGTTCCCCACTAGGGCGTAAGGCAGTGTCTGCTGCAGATGTCCTAGTGGGCTGGAACTGTGGAGGAGAGAGGGGCCTGTCCTGCACCGGGGAGCCACGGTGAGTCCTCAGGCCGGGCCGAGATGCTTCCTTCCCAAACCCAAGCTATGTGCTCCTGGGCCCGGTTGGGCCCTTTTGATTACAAAGAACGAAATTCTCTCAGGCCCTTACCTGAGTTGCTATAACAAAGTGGCACCCACTGAGTAGCTTAAATAACAGGAAGGTCCTGCTCATAGTTCTGGAGTCTGGAAGCCAGAGATCATTTGCGTCAGGCTCCACTCCTTTGCATGTTTATCGTCTCTCGTGTTGTCCCAGGGTCTTCCCTATGTGTATTTGTGTCCACATTTCCTCTTTGTACAAGGACACCAGTTATATTGGGTTGGAGTCCTGATCGTTGCATTTCAACTCTTTGATGACCTTCTGTCCAAGTACAGTCACTTTCTGAGGCACTGATGGTTAGGATCTCAACATACGAATTTGTGAGGGGAAGGCCCTGTTATATAGCAGCTGTCCAGGACAAAAGCTTCTTTGAAGGATGTTCTTGGCCTGGAGCTGAGCTGGGCCAGGGTGGCTTTCTGCCCCTTATAGAGTTCACCAGCACCATACTGTTAATTATTTCACATCTCCTTTAAAAATCATCCACATTTGTATTTAAATAAAAACATTTTGGAAGGAAATATGTCGGAGGCTTAATATTCTGTTTATATTTTTAAATGAACAGATGTTGAACAAAGGCACCGATATTAAAATGAATGTTGGTGTAACATATAAAATCCTCTCCAGAGCCACCTGTCCTGAGCAGGTGCTGGAGGGAGAAGACAGATCTACCTGGCTCAGCTGAGTGGCTTTCGGGTTACATCAGATTAAGTGCTCTTGGCTGTAAGGCTGTGGAACCTGCTGATACTGATTTAAGAAAAATTTATTCTCCCGCAGAGCTGGAGTATTAGCATGGTGAGACACCATACTCAAAGGAAGAAGAGACACCATTGTCTTTCTCTCTTCTCCTGTGGGTCCTCAGCTGACTTCTCTAAATTTCATTGGTCAAAGTGGAGTCACATGCTCCCTCCTGAGTTCAAAGAGGAAGTGATGGAAAGGGTGTTGGGGTGACAGTTCCCACCACACCATCCACAGCTTGCCTGCCGGTGAGCAGGCTGTCCCCGATGCAGGTACAGCCCCCCATCCCCACACCAGGCAGAGCAAAGGCAGACAGCTTTGACCAGAGCAGGGTTCAGGGTGGCAGTGCCATCAGACGCCTCTGCTGTCTCCCTCAGGTGACTGTTTCTGTAATGGCTGAGCTGTGTCTGGCTTCAGTCTGAACCATCAGTTTCCAAACAGTGCTGCCTCTTCCCACCTCCCACACACGAGGTCACAGAGGACCTGCGAAAGCCGGGCTAGCACCTACCTTTCCCCCACTCAGCGCCTGAATCTCGATGCTTTGGATGGTGCCGAGCCAGACTCGCTGGGCTCATTCTCTCCGTCTCCTGCTGAATTCTCTGGCTGCTTCTCAGCTGTCAGGGTGCCAAGCTCCATCCTGACCGTCTCCTGGCTCCAGCCGCAGCAGGAAATGGGCCTGACCGTTGTTCTTCCACAGCTGGTGAGTTTTCAGTATGTGTTTGCACGGATCCCACCCGCACTCCATCTCTGAAACCCCTGCTTTGATTTACTAAGCACCTACGACAAGTCCAGCCCTGCTCAGCGCTGAAGGGTGTGAGCGGGGGCAGGGAGGGCACTGACAGAACATCCGAAGTGCTTGGGTGCTTTCAGCTTTGTATTCTACTCACGGTGACAGCCACACATTTGGAGAGTGAGATCAGCAGACTGCAGAGGCTGGAGGGGATATGAAGTGGTCCAGATGAAAGATACCATGTGGATTCAGAGAAGGGTAGATGGATACAGGCTGTGTGTGTGTGTGTGTGTGTGTGTGTGTGTGTGTGTGTGTGTTGTTCACTTTGAATCCACACTCTTCGTGCCCGGTGCCCCGAGGGCTGACAGCCATGGACACCACCCCTGGTGTCCAGCTGGGTCTGCCAAGGTATCACTGGTAGAAGATGGTAGGGCAGAAGGAGGATGAGGCAGGATCTATTGCCCTTGTCTCCTTTCTGTGTTGTTGTGACGTAGCATGGGCCTGTTCCTCTGATGTAGCCTTAGCTGCTCCTGTAGGGCACAGAGCAATGATAGCTTCCTGCCTGCTTCCCTTCCCATTTCCACTCCTCAGGGAATAGTTCCTGCGTTCTTGCAGGTCCTTCTGAAGACACAACAGGGAGTACATCCACACACAGGAAGTACTTCCCGAAGCAGCATGGCCTGGAGCCGGTCTCTTGGGTAAGTTGGGGAGATGGTCAAACGGAGAAGAGAACCTAAGGCGCTCCAGGGGGAGCACAATCCAGCCAAAATTCTGAGGGAGATGGAATGGATGTCAGCAGACGCTACAAGCCTGGAAAACAGGATGGAGGCAGATTGTGGAACTGTTTCACTGCTAGCCTGAGGGATCCAGCCTTTCCCTCTTGAGCTAAAGAAGCAAATATTTTACTTTATTATTAATGAATTTGTTTTGGTTTTCATTCCTACTTTTTCCTTATTACCGCCAGTAGTCGAGCTCGTATTTATTAAACCCTGTTGTAGGCTGCACCATGTCCCTCCCTATAGCCATATGTTAAAGTCCCAATGCTTAGTACCTCAAGTGGTGATCCTGTTTGGAGACAGGCTCATCGCAGAGGCAGTGGAGTTAAATGAAGTCTTCAGAAAGGGTCCTGATCCAGTGTAACTGGTGTCATAAAAAGGTGGGATTTGGACACACGCCCGGGAGGAAAACAATGTGAAAGAAAGGACAAGAGAGAAGACAGCATCTTCTGGAATAGATCCCCTTCCCCCCAGTCATTGGAAGGAAGGAGGTGGTGACACCTGATTTCAGACCTCCAGCCTCTAGCCTGGGGGACAGTTAGTTTCTGCTGATAAAGCCACCCTGACTGTGGCCCTCTGCTACCGCGGCCCCATGGAACCAGCACAGCACACACCGCGTGACATCTCGCGCCATGACAGTGCTCTAGGATTCCCTCTCTCCGCAGCTGGAACCTCAGTCAACCCCTACAGTCCCCAGCACAGTGCACTTCCATTCCGGCCCCCACACTGAGCACATGGACACTGTGCCTGGCTTTTATGTGTCTACTTAATGAGCCCCATCCTAGGGGTTGGTAGGACAGAATAGACAAGAGCGCTCACTGCCCTCAAGCTGGCATTTGATGCTTTTGAAGCTGTTCCCTGTCTATCTCCACCAGAAGAACCGCCCCCTACGGCGAGATTGTGTCACATTTGACCTTCTGGGGCGTGAATGATAAACCAAGATCAGAATTGGGTTTTAATCACATCTAAACACCCAGTCAACTTGAAAGAAGCCTGGGTCAACTCATTGTCAGGCATTGGCCTTCCCAGGGGATCATTTGTCCACGGCCATCTGGCCTCTGCCCAGGTAGGAGTGGTGGGGAAGGCAGGTGGGTGGGGTGTGGTGGCTTCTCCCACCTGCCACACGGAACCACATCCTTTCGACCTCAGTGGAAAGAAGTCACCAGCTTTGTGGAGGCCCAAGTGTAGGACACGGGAAGCAAGTTCTAGATGCTGTGAAAGATTCCTATCTCATTTCCTGGGAATTCTGGAAGACATTATTTCCCTGAAACAATGCTGAAACTCCCACCCCACCTCAGTCCCTGTACTCTGTGATGTGGCTGGCAGCGTGTCTGTGACTGCTGGGTCTTGTGCCTTCTTTTAGCCCATGTGACCATAAGCATGGGCATCTTGACAGTAAAATTGCACTCAGGTACCCCAACCCTTGGTGGATGTGGATCCACAGCAAGCAGGAGTGAGGAACTCTGCTCACATAAATTACTGGGTGACACCAGCCTCAGGCACCACTTTGAAAGGCTGAGGACTGGGATGATGGCACCCCCTCCAGCTCTGAAACTAGGGCAGTCATCTGTGTGTGCAGAGAGGACACACACACACAGGAAGCTCCGTGATAGCGCTAGCTCCTTTTCTCACCATAGTTCCCACTGGACTGTGCACAGACAGCAGTCATCTATGCCCACAGCAACACGTCAACATGTGTGACTGACTTGTATATTAAGTTTTTTTTTAATACTGGAGCTTGAACTCGGGGCCTCACGCAAGCTAGGCAAGCATTTTGCCATTGGGCTGTATCCCCAGGCTTTGTACTCCAGTGTTTTAAAAATGGAGTCTAGATTACCCCATAATAATGTCCATCAGAGTCACCTTTATTCCTGTTTGCTTTCACAGATGAGAAAAGGGTGGAAGACAGCCGCTGGTGTGCTGGAATTGTGTAAGTGTTGCCGATGGAAATGCATTGTGTGAACATCATCCTGTGCACTGCAGCAGGAAAAGTTGGGAACGAAACTCCTTTAGGTTGTGAAGCAAGGAGCTTCTGGAAGACCCATTAACATAAAGCTTTGGAAACCAGCTTGGAAATTTTGACATGTCGTCACTTTCATCTGCTAAGCAGCTTGCAAACATCCTCTCCCTCTTTCCCATGCCTCCCTCCAACTTCTCTGCTTCAGCCTGACCATCTGAATTTTTCCAGTGAGATTGCAGACCCAGCAGGCTGGCTTCCACTTCTGATGAGAGATGGGAGGATTGAGGATAGGACCCGACAGGCTTCAGAAAAGCACCCTGTTTTGCTCTGTCTGCTGCCAGACCCAAAACCTGCCCACCCCGTGGCAACTCATCCCTGCCTTAGTCAGAGCTCCAACCAACATGAGCTGTAGGAGCAAATCCAGTAACCAGGGTGCAGAAGACCACGGCTTCCTGGCTGGAGGAGACACGGCTTTTCCTTGGGCTGATCTCCTGGTGCCACAGGGAATGCGGCAAGCTCAGCCCCAGGGCAGCCTCTCCGCTGATTTAGAATGTGCACTATGACACACAAAACCCAGCTTCTGGTGTTGTTCTGTTTTCTAGGAAATGTCAGCATCTCCCTTCTCGCTCTCTCCCCACTGGCCTTTCCTGTCTCCCCACACGTGGAGCAGAAACTCTGGGGGACACGTCAGCGCCCCTTTGCCTGCCCTCCAACCGTGCAGGCTCCAGCTTGCATCCTGGTGCCAGGCAGCGTGGAGTTAACGGCCTCTCTTTTTATTTGTGTCTCTGCTGCCTGCAGTGTGAGAGGCGTGATGGATGCTCTGAGCTCCCCAGGGGTTGGAGGGGGCAGAGCTGAAGGGTGAACTGAGGTGGGAAAGAAAGGCAGGTTTGTAAATAAACAAGGGCAGAGTTGGGAGACCCAGGGCCAGGCTCCTGCCGTGGCCTTCCGGGCTTCTGAGGAGGGGAGCTCCTGGGGCCCCCTCCAGCGCAGACTGGGGGAGGCAGTTATTGTTTTTGGATTTCACTAAGATGAACTCCAGATGATTTTCCGAGGGCTGATTTCACAGCACATTTGCTCCATCTGAGCAATCACTCCCTGCAACAGTTGGATTTCCATTTGGCATTTACCTTGTGTGCCCGGAATCAGGACTGTCTGCTTCCTTGGGGTTGAATCCTTCTATTTTCTTTGGGGCTCAGCCAAACCCTTTCCATTGGCCCTGGTTCCACTAAGGCTTTTCAGTTCCCACACAGGTAAGACTAGACCAGGTCCACAGGGGTTCCCAGAACCCCACGACCATACCCACTCCTGCAGAACAGAAAAAGGGGGACCGAAGCCACTGAACTCTTTAATTGTACAGAGATAGGTGCTCAGCTACAGTGCAGAATGACTACAGCCGGGAAAGTGGCAGGCACTTCCACACTAGGCCCTGGAAGCTGTGACAGTCCCCTCTGGAGCGACAGGTCAACAGGTCCTCTTGCACATAGCCATGAGAAGCCTGGAGCTGTGTGTGGTAAGGGCTGTGGCCAAGTGGGCTGTCTGGGGACAGAGTGTCAGGATGGTCCATCGGCAGACCTTGCATCTGCATCGAGACCCTTTGTGGCAGTGTCCCCTGAGTTGGAGCAGAGTCTCACAGTGTTTAGTCTTATTTTTTAATCTTACAGATTTCCTTTTGTTTATACTTTTATAAGAAATAAAATCAACTTTGCAGGCTCTCCACCCCACCCCACCCCCAGGGTAAGACACTTGTGCCTGGGCTCCGAACACAGAAACCTTTAAACTTCAGGGTCGATGGTGTCTGCTAGGGAGAACACAGTGTTTCTGTGACGTGTACAGCCCAGTGTCAACCCCATCCTAAGTGTTCTCCCCTCACCCGCGACAGCCCTGTGACGCCCTGGCTCCCTCGGGCCGGGCCCAGCCAGCCCTTTCTCTGCCCTTGCTTGCCCTTTCTTGCCCCTCCTGGGCCCTTTGAAGGGTCTGAGGGGCCACCTGCTCTGGTCCCTCAGCGCCTCCCACCTCTTGCCTGGGGACAGGACTGTGGAGGGTGCTTGTCATTCACTTAGGATGGGATTGTGTCTGGAACATCTGAAACTGAGGTCAAGGCACCTGCCCTTGCAGGATGATGAGCCCTGAGCTCCACTGCTGCCTCTGTATCTCTGAACGTGTTTCTTTGCTTCTCGGAGCCTTGATGGCCCCACACATAAACATGGGGAGGTGGTGGGTTCTTCTGTGAGTCTTCAATGTGCTGTTTTAAATGCCCTGAAGTCTTAAGAAGTGGGAAAGGGAGGCGCTGGACTTTGTTTATTTTACAGGTAACAAAGGTTGGGAAACCCTCACCAAAATGCCTAGGATTTCATGGAATCCAAGAGAAACCTGTATCCAAACTCAGTTCTGGGAGGAAAGGGGAGGAAAGAAGCTGGACTTTGGTAGCTCTAGGGTTCTATTTGCTCTAACTGTGCCCCTCTCTCCTGGGGACCAGTTTAATTGCTCAGAGGTTAAGGGGCTCATTCCTCCCTGCCTGTGGGAGCAGTGACGTGCATGCAGCCTGCTGAGCCTGCTCCTGTGGCCTCTGCTCATGTTGGCTTTTTCGTCTCTCCTCAGGCCTTCGGATGGATGTGCCTTGATCTTTCTTTACCTCTCTTCCCTCGCAGTGCCCTTCTTCTGACTTAAAGCTCAAACCCCCACTGGAAAAGTCCGGGGAGAAGGTCTTAGGCATCGAGGAATAGGCTGGCAAACTAACATCTCTGTCGATGCTGCCCAAATCTCTCCACTGCTGTCCACCGTCTGACCCAGGCCCTTGGGTGGGAAAAAGCCAAGACAGGCCTGGAAAGAGGTCTCTCTGAGGATGTGAAGAGAACACTGGTGATGTGATTAAGTATCTGTTTTCTATGAGTGTGGCCCCGTGGTGCTTAGACAACATTTCCAAACAAGAACAACCCAAATTCACACTTAGGAAGCCTAAATTATTGTTTTCCAGGAAAAAACTAACTTTTTTAACTGACACATTTTATGGGGTACAGTGGAGTGACTCAGTGTGTGAGAGCAACAAGGACGGTGGAATGAACATAGAGAGATTGTGGCTTCGGACATTTCGCATTTCTTCGTCATGTCAATATTCCAAGTCCTCACTGCCATCTTGAAATATATGTGGTACAATCACAATATATGGTAAAGTTTAAATTTTAGAAACGTATTGCAATAAAAGACATCTTGCCGTTAGCCCCCCACCGCAAAATACTGCCCGCTTTCCCGTCGTTCTTATCACTTCATGAAGCAGTTGTGGAAGACTTCTTGCATATTTTCCTGAGGTTTGATGAAAAATATGGTGAGTGCTTCTGCCGAGTGCCATCCAGTGGAAAGGCGGGCTCACAAAGCCACGGTGGGGCCTCATCTACCTTATTCAGGAGGTCTGGCATCACACGGCTCCGGCTCTCCTCCAAAGTCAAAACGACTTTGGCACGTACTTCGAATCCATTTAGGACATGGAGCGGCTACGATAGTGTAGCTGAAGACACTCACAAAAGAGGCCTTCTAGAGCCGCTTCAGGAAGAACAATGGGATAAGTTGGAAGTAAAAAGGAATATTTTGAGGGGGGGGTTAATGACAATCTGCCTTTTACCATAGTGGTTTTTAAGAATTCAAATATCCACTATATATATATATTTTTTTTTCTTTTTCTTTTTTGTACCAGGGATTGAACTCGGGTCCTTGCGCTTGCAAGGCAGGTCACCGAACCGGGCTCCACTATATTTTTTATCACATTTATATACTATATTAGTGTTAATTATAGTTAACCTGCTGCACCAGTGAACACTAGAGCCTCTTCCCCCTTTCCATCTGTAATTTTGTGCCTATTAATGGAAAAAAAATAGCACAGCTGTTATGCTTCAAGGCTAATGGAAGGTCTGAGAAGGGATTATGTGGGTTAAAATGCCAAGTTCTTACCGGGAAACAATGTCCGAGTCTATAAACTTTTATTACTGTATACTATCCAAGGTTATTTACTTGAAGCCTGCTAAAAAATTAAATATTACTTAACTTTTGAAAAAAGCATTGCCTACGTATATGTGTGTATATATGTATGTATGTATGTGTATATATGTTCAAAAACTTTTATTTTTTGTAGCAACAATGGAGTATCTGATGTTTCCTGTCCCCTGAGATTTAAATTCCTCCATGGAACAAAAGAACCACAAATGATAACAAAAGTTTTTACATCCATGACCGTGCAGCAGTAACAAGCAGAATGGTTTGCGTAACTGATATTTCTTTTTCCGTTCTTTCCTAGAAAACATGGTATTAAGAAATTGCACATTTCATCAATTCAGGAAAATTCATACTTTTGTATCTTTGAGTATCGTCTTAACCAATTCCTTCTATTCATTTCTCTGGAATCTAACAAAATTTATATTAAATATCAAAACATAAAGCACTGTAAGTGTATTTATGTATTTAATCATAAAATATACACAAAATGAGAGGTATTATATTTGATAGAAATAATATAGAGCTATGTGTATATGTTTATAATAATTTATATGAAGTAAATATGAGTTTTGTCTCTTCCTCTAAATTTTTTATGACTGCCGAGTTTTGTTTATTTTTCCTTCTGGAGAGAGGCAACAGACAGAGAGAGATAGCTACAGAGACTATAAGCCTAAGTCGGCCACAAGGAAAAAACAAACAAACAAACCCAAAACAATGATACTTTCCAGAGAAAGGACCCTACAAGTAATTTTCTCAACTGCTTCTTTTTCTGAAAATGGTCTGAGGAGGAGAACAATTTCCAGTCCCCCTCCTTGGTAATCGAACAAGCGTTTCAGGTGTGAAATTATAAATCTAGGTTGTCATCTGAGACCGGACCATTTGTCTTGTCCGCCCATAAAGTGCAGGGGGCATACGGGTTGTCTTCTGTTTATTACATGCAAACTCCTGTGGATGAAAGGAAAGAGGGGAGAAAACTTAATCCAGCAATGTAGGTCTCCGCTACATTGTATGGAGAAGTAAGATGACGAAAATGAAAAGCTAGGGCGAGGGATTTAGCTCAGTGGTTCCTTTGCCTGCACCGCAAGTGGAAAGTCCTGAGTTCAATCCCCGGTACCAAGAGAAAAGAAAAAGAAATGCTGTGACAAGCTTTCAGGAGGAGCTGGACAAGCATAAACAGAGGAGCTCAGAGGGGGTGGAGGAGCCAGACAGCAGGCGCCTGTGTCCGCACAGTGACCGTCAGGAAGCTGGGATTGCAGTGCAGGAGCTTGGCCTTCGTGGACCTGGTTCTGTGACCTGCAGGAAGTTCTGGGTACAGAGCAGTCCGGCCAGTGTTCGGCTTAGCCCGTGTCCATCCTAGGGGCTTCGTGTGATCTCTGTGTGTGGCAGGCGGGAGCACCCCATGCTGCCTCGGTTACCCCAATAATCAGCATCCGTGGTGGGGCCGGGGCCACCCGAGCTCCTCATCAACCTGGAGGCAAAGCACCAAAGGAGACGCACAGACTCCACACGCTGCTCGGGATGACAGGCTTCACCTTTACACTTGCTGTTTTCCCCCAAATTATAAAATTTGTGTTTAAACCATATAAAATGGAAAACAAATATCATCCTAATCCCACCACTTGGGTGTCCATCCTGTTAAAATCCCACGAGAGGTCCTGTGAGCGCCTGTTACGCATGTGAATATTTGCACTTGAGTCATGCGTCAGTGAGGATTCGTCCTCCGACCCAGGACAAGTCAGAGTCCACCCGGGGTGCCCAGAGTCTCCAGAGAGCTTTAGGTCCTTTCCGGTCACTCGCACCAGCAAGCCCTCTCTATTTCTACAGCTAGCTTTACTGTGTCGTTATGCGTGTCACGGACTGAGATGGAGAGCGAAGTCTTTCTTCGGATTTCTACTCTTATGGGAGAGCATTTATTAGGGCAGTCGATTCTACTGAACATTTTAGGTGGGGACAATGTCGAGGTTTGGCTCCTAGCCACAGTAGCACCTTTAAAGAGAACAGCAGGCATCTGTGCCCTGTGGGCAGCCCACACGTGGATTAGCTGTGATTTCCCCGCTCTGGGAGGTCTCGGGCCCAGGCAGCCCTGCCCCCGGCCTCCTCCTCCTCGGCTCCGCCCCTTCCTTCCCCACCGTTCTCCCATCGTCCCATCGTCCTTTTCATGGCTTCGCGCACCTGTCAGCACCCCTCCGCTCGGCTTTTCCCTTCTAATAAAGGTAAGTGGCTTAGAAAGGAATTTGTTTAAACAAGGACCTTTCTTCTTACAGCATCTGTGACAATAATAAAAATCATGAGATCACACTCTGTGCACAATCTTTGGTCTGCCTTTTAAAATTGGGCACTATGCCATTAGCACTTTCCCTTATCATTAATATTTAATGCCCCGGGTCTCGTCAAGTAGACACACGGTATGTATTTTACAACTCCTCCGTTGTTGGACGTTCTTTGCCTTGGGGAGATTTATAAAGCAGAAATTCTTAGCACGAGGGCCTGAGTATTTTTGAAGCCCAATACTAATTGCTACATTGTCTTTCTTTGCTACTGCCCAGCTAGGGATTTTTACTTTTCAAAAAACTGGCTGGTTTGACACTTCCTGTGGAAGAGACCATTTCAGGGCAGAGGCAGAGCCGCAGAGAGCCGCAGAGAGCCTGTGGCTCAGGGGGTTCCTGGCTGTGCCCTGGGGCAGTTGATAAATTCCCAGGGGCTCTGAAGCCAGATGCCCTCAGGCTCAGGGGATGAGGAAAATCTTGCCCCAGCTCCTGCCCTTGGAGTTGTCACCCAGAGCAAGACATCCTACCTCTACCCCGGGAAGGGCATCCCAGTCGGGCTACCCTGGGCAGCTCCTTCAGCTTTGCCTGCAGGTGGGTGGCTATGGGCAAGCTGACCTTCTGCCCAGCACAGGCGCACTGTGTCTGACCCACTCAAACTCATTTTTCTCTCCTTCTTTGGAGCGTGGCAGAGTTAGAAGGCATCCTTTCCCCATACAGTACTGTCTCTCCCCACAGTACTGTATTTATGGGTCTGCTTTTCCCCTTCCTAAAAGCCCCAGGAGCTCACACAAGGCCACTCCTCAGCGTCCCTTTCTGAGGGGAAAGTTGACCAGGGAGCCCGAGATGTCTCCCCTCTTCACTCCTAGGGTGCTGGTGAGCACTGCTCCTCCCACCTGAGAGCACAGCACATGCGTGCATGCCAGCCTTCCAGCCTATTTTTAAACAAACTAAAAATACTGCCTTACCTCAGAGGGTTGTACTGAAGGAGCTCGTTCAGGGTATCAGATGGAATTTTACAAATATAAAATGCTTTGGCATCATCTGCTCTCTCACCTCCCTGGGTCCGCTCCCTGAAGAAAGCAGAGGAATCGCGGGTTGGGACCAATCGGGGTTTGAGGATGCACTGCCTGATTTGTCCTCTCCTCTACGCCTTGGACTTCAGGCGCATCCTGCAGCCCCAGCCCTGCTCAAGCGACGGAGGCCTGGGGCCCAGCCGTTCTGATGGCCACACGTCTCTGCTTGGGTAGGAGAAACCCAGGCACAAGCACACTCAGTCTCTGTTATCCCTCCTCCTCCCGCCCTGAGTCCTTGCGTCGTGTCCCAGGCCCCGTTCCCTCCCCGGGATAACTGCTCGCCCCCATAAGCCTCTGCCGCAGAATGGAAGATCGAGTGCTCTCCAGTTCCAGGTCAGGCGCTTTGGATTTAACCTTGAGGCTGAGGCTCAGCTGCCCTGACAGCCACCGCTTCTTCCTACAGCAACACCTCCTGCAAAGGTAGCCCAGCACGTCCTTGGCCCCTGGCTTCCTGGGCCGATAAAAATAGCGGAGGCTTCGCAGCTGCTGAATGATGAATTCGGAAGGAGCTGATTGATTCTCACAGCTGAGCCTCGGGGTCAGCGAGCCGCGTGCAAGCAGAGACATCGGGGTGAGGGAAGGGGATTCTGCTATAGATAGAGCTGTTGACAGAGCGATCCTGGGCTTCTCCCCACCCGAGGGGAGCACAGAACAAGCTAACTGCACGGAGCTGCAAAGGGCTCTTGGAAATGATGCACATACGCGTGCCCTTTTCCTTCAGGTCATTTGTGGCCTTTTGGGGCTGTTCTTTTATTTCCCCTCCTTCGTTCTGGGACAAGATTTAAGGAAGGGAGGAGTATTTTTTTTTTTTTTAAAGAAGGCAGTAAGGTGCCACCTTCCCTGAAAACAATGGTGAGGAGCTGTCAGAGCTTGAAACTCCATAAGGACACCAATGTCAGGCAGCTCCCCGTGGGCCGGAACTGGTATCTGCTCCCGGCTGGCTGGAGGGACATCTAGCTTAATGGGCCAGGGGACTAGTCTCGGTCACCTAGCAGGGTTAATCACAATGTTCTAAGATCAGCTGCAAGTGCAGCTCCTGGCCAGAAATGGAGCAGCTTTTAAGCAGGGGCCCAAATCCCCAAGCTGCTGAACTGAGTGCAAGTAAACAGCTGGGCCAGTGAAGTTGCACAGCTGGACTAGATCGGGACAATTCGGAGATATGGCCATATGCATTTACTTTACAGCACATATTTTCTAGGCATTCTATCCCCCAATGTTCTATAAAGCCATAATAATAAGGTTTTAGAGAGAGGGAAAAAAAAGTCACTGGAGGAGGGTGAAATTAAGAGGCCAGCGGGAAAGTCTGTGTTTTCAGATGAGGTTACTAGAAGGCTGATGAGTGGGTGGGGGCCAGACATGGAGAACGTATCCAGATGGCTGCTGCCGCTGAGGAGAAGGTGCCGGGCTGTGACAGGAGGAGTGGGAAAGGGAGACGGAGGCCCACGGATTTCCTGAAGGAGACGGAGGAAGACTGCGGGGGCATCTGGGCCAGGACCACGGTCCTGGAAGCAAAGCAGAGCCTGCCTTTGTCTTTGCTGGATCCACATGAGGTGCAGGCACTGGGCGCCCTTCCTGACCTGCACTCGTCAACTGCCCCTCGGAATTACAGCTCAGCAGCTCCAAAACCTTTCCCAGAGAGCGCCTCACTTAAGCCCCAAGTCACCTCTGCGGCTCTCGGTACCTCTGGGGCTTGATATCTGCCACTGAATGAAATCTACGCAGCAGTTATCTGGATCCTGCTGACGAAAAATTTCCAGTCAGTTCACTAGTGGGTAGTCAGGTCACAAAGTCCGGAAGCCAAGGCAAGCAGACGGGCTGTGGTACGGTGGGGTGCCTAGGGCTGTAATTAGCCTGAAGAAGACTCCAGGTTTGCCGCTATTATTCATGGGAGATGTAACGCCCCCAACCCCGCGGGAGGCCTTAGACACACGTGTGTGGAGGGACATCCGAGCTTTACATCACCGCTTCACCTCCAAGCCCTGCAAGTACCCCTGCCATTTCCTGGGACAGGGCTGTGCCCATCAGCAGTGTGGCCACCCTCAGGTGGACAGACCTAGGAGGGAACCCCCGGCGGACTACTACTAGGCTGCCACTACCTGGAATGAAACTTAGAAGGAGGATCCCTGGGTCCAGGCACGTGTGCCGCCTAGGTGCCCATGCTTGTCTTTTCTTGTGGAAAATGGTATGACCAGGAAAGGGTGAGCTGGGGCCACCAAGTGTGAGGCCTAGGCCCCATCACCGGGTCAGAGTCTGGTGCTGAGCAGGTCAGGTTCAACCAGATGCCAAACCGGCTACTACTTTCTCTGTACTCTGCCTCCAAGAAGTTTCCACTGCACACCTCAGACCCTGCAAAGGTTTCTCACTTCTCCTCCGTCTCCCAGACACCATTTGGGCCTGGCAACTCCAACTGCTTCATGCTGCAGAGTCTTCCCTCTTTCTCCACCTTGCCTACTGCATAGGGAAATACCGCTTATGCCTGCACTGAGGTCCTTCAGCCTCCACACTGCCAGCTCAGTAGCCCTGCCCTGGTAAACATGACCTTATCCCGCACCATGCTGCGTGCCAACAGGGCAAAGTCCACGCCCAGCCATAAATCCCCCTAGAGCTCTACCACTGCCCACCTCCCTGCTCGCCAGCCTCTGCCTCTTGAGTCTTGTCGAATGCTCTTGTAGTCCATGACACTTGGGTCTCTGACCTCTTTGCCTGTTGCCAAAGCTTCTTCCTGTGCCTGCAGGGTCCTTTCCCTCTTCTGTTCATCATGGTACACTTACTTCCTCCTAAATGGAAATCTTTCCAATGCCCTGTCTCTCTTTCCTCCCCAGGTGAGACAGATCACTTTATGTATAAATCGAACTAATATGTACAAAACAGCACTTAGGGTTTTGCACCGCTTGTTTGCTTACAGATCCGGTGTGTTGTGACCAGACCGCAGCTCTCTGAGGGCAGAGGCTACATTGCTGTTCCTGGCACTTCTCTGCCCAACATGGAAATGTGTGTTAAACTGAAATAGAAAAGTGTGCACACCGTCAGTGCTTATTGGCACAGATGTGATCGTGCACGGAGAAGCAGATATTACTTGGTTTGTTTTTAACCAGACACTATGTAAGGTCAGTTTCTAAACAATGGGAAGAAAGTGATCACAAGTTTCAGGCCTGCATGGAAGACACAGATGAATCCATAAAAGTCTCCCCGTCTTTCTGGGCACGGTTGGCACTGCCAGCAGCTGCCAAGGCACTCAGAGTCTCCAGCAGTTCCAGGCTGTAGACTCTGTGTCTCAGATGCCAAGGTTATCTCGGGACGAAGGTCAGGCCAGTTCCTCTGGCCACTTAGTGCTGCACCCTCTTTCTCCATTAGGAGAAGCCAACCCGTACCTCTTCCTTCCCTTTGGCAGGGCAAAGGAAGTGGAGAGGAGCAGACAGAGATGGGATCGAGTCGGGTGGTCGGGAGTCATAGTTCATTGAATGGGCCTGTGCCGAAGATGCAAGCATGAGCGAAGGGCAGCCCTGCCCAGGAAGGGTTCATTCCCTGCTTGGAAGGGAGCCACACAAAGGCACACCCGACAAGACAGCTAGCATCAAGTCATCGCAGCACACCACGCAGGGGTTACCACACAGCCCCTTCCCACGAGCCATGCCCCTGTGCGGTCTGAGCCCATCCCCCCTACGGTCTCTGTCCCTCTTGTCTCTCTGCACACGTCCTCCCCTCAGCCTGGCTTCCTTTCCTCCCTGTTTTATGCGAGGCTGGCTCCTTTCACTTGCCCCTCTCTGTTGAAAGTTCGTTTCTTCGGGGCCTTCATCTGTTGCCTACCTCTAGTACCTTCTGACTTTATTCCTCATTACTTGCTCCCAGCTTCTTATTTACCTAGTGGTCCTGTGAGGAAGGCAGGGACCATGTGTCTCTTATTTCTTGCTGTAAGGACGGCCTCAAACCATACAGTGAATGATACGATGTCACAAGTGGAGGAGAGAAGAGGGCTCTTCTTGGTTCTCTGGCATTTGGTGACACGAAGTAGGGAAAAGATGTCGCAGAAGGCTTACCGGAAGTGAGGACACCATTAGCGTTCCTGTGTTTGCCGGGTGGATGGGCCCCTGCTTGCTGGGTGGGCGGAGACGGGACTCGGATGGCAGGGGTGGGGTGGGCGTGTGTGTACGCACTGGCAGTGGTAAAGGGAGACATCTGCTAACCCGTTATGACGTATGCTTCCCTGTCTGTGACAGATGGGACAAGGAGGCAAACTATTAAAAGTCTACTTTGGAACATTTATCCCTTGGGCATGCCCACCTGGGCTGAACAAATGCAGCACAAGCCGAACACTTAGAACTCAGAAAACTACCTGGGGGATGCAGTAAGGACAGGGAGGCACTGCAGTGACCTCCAGTCATGAGACTCATGTCCTGACTGTCTCTGACTGCTCACAAGAGCTGGCCCAGGGTGTTCCAGCTCTGCCAGGCCACTGGGCCAAGTTCCCGGAGACAGAGATCCACTGCTGCTCTCTCCCCCATCGCACCCAGGAGAGAGCACACGAAGTGGGCCTGCGTCCACAGGCAGGCAGACACCTACCCGGCCCCCTGGGACACGGCACGGTTGCCGCTGCCAGCGAAACAACCATCACCTCTGTACTGGGCCAGAGGGAGGAGCTGCGGCCGACAGAGCCCTGGTGACTTATGACACCCAGGCTCGCTGTCAGGGTAGTTCCAGGGAGCAGCCCCAACTTCCTCAGAAAGGTCCCTCCCTTCCAGTGATTCCGGAGCAGAGTGAGCCGGTCATGTTTCCCCTTCTCCTCTTTCCCTCTCCTCCCCGCAGAGCAAATGGGTTTCCCAGTATTCTGGGTGCCCTGATCTGTGATGACAAAGAAGTTCCACTGGTCCCTCTCTGCCCTGCACCTGCTGCCAGGGCATGATGGCTTCTGGTCAGTGGCCACAGCCGTTGTCAGCCACAGTATTCTTGGCACGGCTTTGCTGGTTCTCCAAACAGTTTGCCCTCTGGAATAGGTCTGGCCCAAAAGCTACAAAGCCAAGGTCTCCCTCCCTCCCTCCATCCCTCCCTCCATGACAAGGCTCTAGGGAGTTGAAGTTTCCTTCCATATGAGTAGGAGCTGTGAGGCAGCTCGTTCTCTGAACCCAGTGAGTTGCACAATCAGTGGACATTGAACTCGTCACAGTCATCTCCTTGCTCCAAGAAGGCAAAAGGGAAACAAGAAAAAATGGCCCCTCTTGGGTTCAAATCCTCCTGCATTGCTCTCATGCCATCATACGGTAGTGATGTCCTCAGGGTCCGGTAGGTGGCAGAGGCACAGCCAAGACAGAAGGGGGAGTTGGAAAGTGCCACCCAGTCTCACCAGCCATGGACGCCGGAGGTCCTTGGCAAAGAATGGTTACTCCATTGAAGCCCCAGGAAACACTAGGGCATTTATCAGATAGAGCCCAAT